GATTGCCTGGCAGATCACCCCCCCCCCCTCAGGAGACTACAAACCATGGCCGATGACCCAAGTTGCTTACGTCTGGCCGGTCGCTTGACGTAGGCCACCTCCACACTGGGTGGAATAATGCATAGTCACGTTAATGCTTAAAGTGTGCAACTATTCGTGCATGGCGCCAGGAACTTTTTTTTGAACAATTGAGCGTTGTTGATTATCAAAGCGGGCTCTTGATAATGGTATTATTTATACCGAGTGTTGAGCGCGGCGCCAACGGCGAATTTTATAACGTTTAGGGAATGGACGTGAGAGAGTGTGAGGATGTACCTCGGACATGGGTATATCGGACATTGTCCTTGCATCACCCGGGACACTATTATTGCTAAAATAGTCCACTATCTTCCTAAGTGATAGATGATCACTACCAGTCTTTATCTTGTAAGGTGATGAGGACATCGAAATAAGCTTTTCGTTACCGTGAGATTTAACGCAAGCGCACTTATTACGAAGAGGAACAAAGGTCGATTAAAATAAAGTTCGATTGGAACAAGATTCGATTGACGTATAAAAACGTCAGTTGGTGAAGAGGTTTTAAGTCTTACACGTAGTTGGGTACCTGGTACCCTGCGTCTTAGACACACGGATGATATCCCACTGAGCAAGAAATATAATATCTTATCCGCTTACAGGGTCTGACTAGTGTCAGCCAATAGATAGGTGAGATATTAGTTGTGCTAACTCAGGACATAAGTGTCTAGATTAGGTAATAGTAGGATTAAGATATTCTATAGGTGTAAATGTAAACAAATTTCAGTTTCCCTTTGTGATTTTAAAGACACGTGCCTTGCGAGGCGTCTTTGGTCGTTGATCGCTGATCACTAAGAGTTAAAAACACCTCCTTGAGATGCTAATCACTCTTGAGCACTAAGTGCTGTCGATTCATTGAATCGTTTTGTCCCCTGGAACAAGGACCATAAGTTTTACGCTTGTTGACGTATTGGGTCTAGTTCTCTAGAACTAAGTTGCTCGTTGAACGTTAAGTCTTCCTCTGACTTAACGAGCTGTGTAGCTTCGCTACAATAGTAATGGCTTTAGTTTGTTTTTTTTCGCTGCACAGAATTTTAGCCTCTTGACGGACGCAACGCAAGCACGATTTTATACAGTCTAAATCGCTAATTGGCCACATTCGCATAAATCTCCCATTTCCTTAGGTAGTAGACCGTTTGCAGAGAGCGTTCTTGAGATCTTGTTGCTGCATTTTGCCTTAAGCCACCGATAATTCTTTATAATATTTAGCCATCACATATAGCTCTGCTCAGAGCTTCGTATACATGTCAAATTTTAATTTGTTGTCACTATTGTTGCGTATAAAATTTTGTTTCTTAGTGTCAGCATCGGTTACTAATGCGAAATCTACCCCGAAACGATAAAGGAGTGGCAACAACAAGAACGGCAGACAAATTACAGCACAGATGCACGCATTTGATCATTTTTCATTTGTCATTGGAAATCAGGCGTTGGTTCTCTAGATTGTGAGCTTAAAGATAAAAGTTTAAAAACTGTGCGCAAAGTTAATACCAACCTTTTTGTATTGTACTATTCTGTTTGTATGTTTAATTTACGCTAGGTGGATCTTTTACTTCGTAATAAGGGCTGTGGTGGAGTGGGTTGCTAAAACTGTTTTTCAAGACCCCAAACCACTCACTGTGCCGAACTGTCGGCCGTCAGAGGGATTTTTAACGATGCCGCTTGTGGACCTTGAATTACCTTGTGTACCCGTCGGCTTTGTGGATTTTACTCGTCGGATGACTTGGTGATGATGTAGATCTCGGCCTTGATGGAGGTCGACCTGCGGAGCCCCGAGCAAATTTTCTTACGTCGGGGTCCGATGTATGCGACCACTCAATCTACTTGATCGAGAGTGGTCTTATAACCACTGTTCTTAGGTGCTGGTGGCGCCTGGCCTTCACTTGTCTCCGGGTTGTTTACCGCCTGGCCTATACGTGTATTTTTAAACCACTAGGGTATGAAGACGGCTTCTTTCAGCGGAATTTTTGGAGGCGGGGGTGCCACTCTTCGAAGATACAGGCCATTAAATTTCCTGGGTTTATTAACGCTTGTGTCGTATACACAACTGTCTCTTCGACGGGTGGGCTAAGCAGATTCCTGTCCTGGAAAAGGTCTATAAACTTACGATTTTCTTAGCGCACGACACGTCGTGCTACTTACAAAGCAGATTGAGTAGTTTTTAATGTCGTCATATCCTTTATATTTCTTTACTATATCCTTGCCTTGCACCTGGGTCCTATATGATGAGTGGCCAGGAGCCAACAGACCGAAAAAAAGGCCAAGTCGATCTATGGGTGACCAGGTCGGCAGAAAGGTGGACAGGTAGGCTTATGTGACACCGATATCCACCTTACGCAATTAAGGCCGACTGATGAGTGGTTGAAAATGATCCATATCGATACCGTTTGAATGGTACCGTCGGTAGGTTTGACCCTTCATCAGTAACTTTAACCGATCGTCACGGTTAAGCCGAACGGTCGCTCCTTATCAATAACCCCCAAGTGTAACGGGGCACCCTGAAGCTTGTACTGGTGACAGTACAAGCTACTTATTCTGATGACAGAATAAGGCGGTGCCTCGTAACTTCACGTACACTCGTACGTGCAGAGGAAGACGGTAAGAAGAAGCGAGTACTCGGTTAGAGTAAAAAGTAGAACTGTATTTATAATAGTTAATGTCTGCAATAAATCACTATTTATCTTCATCTAACTATGTCTAAATACAAATGTGTAAATCAGTTATCTGCTCACCACTCATTGCGTGCGTCTGTCGTGGCGCGTCTTCGTTGGTTGATATAATGGCCTATATCAACCAATTAGGATTTACTCGTAAGTGCTACAGAATATTTGTCCTTATGACAATATTCTGAGAATATAACTCTTATAGTTATATTCTATTAACAATTTCTTATAAATTGTTATGTAGCGATTCACCCCGTTACATCACCCCCCCTAACCATCAGTCACTTTAGTGACTGATTGACTAAATGGGTACTCGTCCCAAATGATTTGGGACGGGGTGTGCACTTGTTGGTCCGAGTCCATTTTCCAACATTTCATCGCATGGTTAACAAGCCCATGCGATGCGCGAGCAAGGCCGCCGAGAGCGCGTCCGCACGTCTCTGTGCGGACGCCGAAGCAGAAACTACAGCAACTGATGTCTCATCGGTTGCTGAAGCGACCCAGCCTGTGTCACTTGGTGATGCAGGCGCTGGTCATGAAGACACTCGTGTCTTCACAGAGTACGAGCTCGGTGTCTCGTACTCTCCTGATACGGATGACGGAACCGTATCGACGGCGATTGAATCTAAGCCGCCTGCCAAGCGTGGCATGGACGATGCTTTGCGTCGCAGCATCTTTGGTTCATCTGATGAATCAGATGAACCATCGCCGAAGCGAAGGCGCTCGAGGTCGCGAGACTCGGGCGCTAACAGTGGTGTCGGTTCTCCTATGGACACCACTTCACAGCGAGGTGCCAGTACTTCTGTCGGCACGTCGCAGGAAGAGCGGGACCGCAATGTCTTGCGTCTCGCTCCCGAGAAGAAGGCATGGATGCCTCCAAAATCCGTCATGGATCACTTGTCGGCGACGACGAGTGATCGTTATCGAACACGATTGTTCGATTCGTCAAGGATCCATCACCTTGACCCCAGCGCGAAAACCTATCGCGCTGAACATGAATTCTTCATCGATGCTTTCTTTAGACATCGATGGTACAGTGGGAATCACAAGCGTGATGGTCCCTCACTACTTCAAGCGTGGAACGCCTACATCCATAACCTTGAGGATGTAGGTCGTGACGCTTGGAACGACAAACTTATCAAAGCTCGTGATAAGTTTGAAAAGCGAACCCCGACAGGTGCACGCTACAAGCTGCATCGTCTGTCAAGGGAGAAAGGATTACCCTGCCTCTCTTGGGGAGACTCGTGCCCATGTTGTGTGAACAACTCTGCACGAGCACCTAAGGAGGCTTACCTCCTTACTAGCCCGTGGTGGCGCGTACGTATCTCTACTGAGATGTACGAAGGGATTGACAACCTGAAATCCATTTACGACCGTGCCGGGAAGACTTTCTCCGGCGGTCCTTCTGCGGCACAGGATGTGCCGCGTCGTACTGCTCAACCAGACCCAGTACGTCGATCATCAGTTGGGAGCGGGGCTCCCAAGAATCCCAGGACGGGGGATAGCCGCGCCACCGGACGAGATAACTCGTCCGACGTCCGTTCACGTCGCGGTGGTTCAACAGCTGCTCAACTATATAGCGCTGGCCACCGCGAGAGTCCTCTAATGGAGGTGGAGGAGGAGGAAAGACGCTCTCCACACGATCATGTGGATCGGTGTGTTCCCGAGAGCTTCTTTGATCGCGTAACGCAAGGGTTACGCGACGACCTCGAACATGAGCGGAATAGGCGTCTCCAAATGGCGGACACTGCCTCGAAGCATCGAGCTGAGTTTGCCTTTGCTCAGCTCGAGAACGAGAGATCTCTGACATCTCTTCGTGACGAGCTAAGGGTAGCTCGTGGGATTGTTGATCGGTCTCGGGCTGAGATAGCTGCTCTTCAGACCCTTGTTGATGCCCACCATCGGGAGCACAAGGCTCTCTGCGAGATGCTTGAGCGCAAGGGCGTTCTTCATCGGAAGAAGCAGCGTACTGATGGTACGGCTTAAGCCGACCAACGTAAAACGTGGGATGCGTTCGCATCTTACGTGGTAACTCGATCGTGTATGCATTGCCTAGGCGGTGCAATACACGAAATGGGCCGATGTACTTGGGTAGTAGTTTACTGCTACCCAAGTTAGTCACTACATGCTTTGGTAGATTAACCGTAGACAGTAGGACTAAGTCACCTTTATTAAATAAAAGAGTGTTTGCCCTTCCATTCTTGTCAGCGTTTTGCTTTTGCTTATCCATCGCTTCGGCGATGGAGTCTTGCACAAAACGGACTACCGTTTCACGAGCCAGTATGAACTCATCTGATGACTCGTTAGCTTCAGTGCGCTGTGAGCGCACTGCAGCAACATCAATCTCTTCTCTTCTTCAGTGAGGGCTTCCGCACTCTCACTGGGATCATCTTCTTCAGTGAGGGCTTCCCGCACTCTCACTGGCATCATCTTCTTCGATATCGATGTTATCGATATCGGCATCAAACGCAATGACTTCTTCGTCAGAGCGTGATGAGCGTGAACCAAATCGGTTTTTGCTCGCGCGAGTCCCTCCCCCCTTAAACCAGAGTTACACTCTAGTAAGGTGGGTACACGCGGATGGCGCAAGCCATTCACGTAAAACGGTGTATGTGTCGTGGACGCATGCACCGAGTTGTTAATGGCAAACTCTACCATTGGCAAAAACTCACTCCAACTCTTAAAGGAGTGTACGTATCCTCGAAGTATCTCTTCAAGGACACGATTGGCACGTTCCGTCTGACCATCTGACTCTGGATGATCAGATGTTGACATCTTCAAGCGCGTTCCGAGTGATTTGAACACGGAACGCCAGAAATCAGCAGTGAATCGTGGATCTCTGTCTGATACGAGTTCACGGGGCAACCCATGAAGTCGGAAGATGGTGTCAATAAAGACACAAGCACAGCCACTTGCCGTGATTGTCTCTGGTACAGCCACAAGGTGTACCATTTTGCTGAATCTGTCAACAAATACGAGAATACCCGTATTCCCGCGTGCGTCTTTGGGTAACCCGAAGACAAAATCCATTGAGATGGATTCCCAGCACTCAGCCGGAACCGGTAGAGGCTGTAAAAGGTGCACGCAGTGAAGGACTTGACTTCACTCGTTGGCAGACTTCGCATGCGCGAACATACTTTCGCACAAACTGATACTGGCGGGGCCAGTAAAAGTCTCGACTTACCGTGAGATATGTTTTCTCTCGGCCACGATGTCCTCCTATAGGAGCATCGTGATACTCGAACATGATCCGCAAACGCAGATCAGTATCATCTGGAATGACAACACGTGGTGTGTCACCAGAAACGGCTGTATAATACAGTAAACCGTTACGAGTAGTGTATCGATCTGATGCAGATCGATACGCAGGCGACAATCGTTTCAACGATTCTCGGGATGGTTGGGAGAGATGTGTCAACAACTTCACAATCTCACCATCTTGGGCGCATGCCCGCCTCACATCATCATACAACGTTGTAGATGGGACTGAGGACGTCATAACCGCAACAGTGACTGTCTCACTGTTGGGTTTCACGACTGGTTCAAAGTCGGGACGACGTGAGAGTGCATCAGCGACGACATTAAGTCGTCCTGGTTTGTACTCGACCGTAAAGTTGTATTCCGCAAAGAATGACAACCACCGCGCCATTCGTTGTGAAAGGTGCGGGCTGTTCACTGCCGTGCGTAATGACGCATGGTCAGTGTAAACAATGAAGGGTCTATCTCCTAATAGATAGACTCTGAACTTCGCGAGTGCATACTTCATGGCAAGGAGTTCCTTGTCATGCACTGGATAGTTCCGCTCAGCTGGTTGCAGCTGACGCGACTGATAGCAGACGACGCGTTCAACGCCTTCAAGATCGTACTGCATTAATGCACAGCCGATTGCGAAATCGCTGGCATCACAGACCACATGAAATGGCCTGTCTTGATCGGCTATTGCTAGGACTGGGGATTGTATCAAGCTCTGCTTGATACCATCAAAGGAGCGTTGACATTCAGCGTTCCATAACCACCTCTCGTTCTTTTTCAACAAACGAGAGAGGTGCACAGTCATCTCGGCGTAATTGCGTGAATACTTATGCAAATACGCCGCTAGCCCAAGGAATTTTCGAAGACCTTTGACATCGACCGGCACAGGCCAGTCGGTGATCGCCTTGATCTTTTCGGGATCAGGACGTACACCGTTCTTACCAACGATGCACCCAAGAAGTGGTATTTCGCTTGCTGCAAATATACACTTCTTGAGGTTTGCATACAATTGATGCTTTCGCATGATTGTAAGAACTTGTCGGACGTGGTACCTGTGAACCTCAACGTCCGACTTTCCATCCATAGCTCGACTATGGATGAATACGTCATCGAAATAACTCGGCGCGAATTCTCGTACTGGTCTCAACAGATGTGATACACATCTGTTGAACGTGGCAGGGGCATTACTAAGCCCTTGTGGCATTACTAGCCATTCCCAGAGCATGCCGCTAGGCGTGCTAACTGCGGTATAGGGTATATCCCGTTCCCGCATAAGGATTTGATAGAAGCCATCCATCAAATCCATGGACGAAAAGATGGTACTCTTTGACATACCATCAATGATTACGTCCTTCCTCGGTATCGGCGTCTGAGCCGGTACCGTTGCAGCATTCAACTTGTTAAATGCATGCACTATCCGCCACCCTCCTGTTGCTTTTCGCACACAGAAGGTCGGAGAGCTATGTGGGGAAGTTGATTCCCTCACATGGCCCGCAGCTAAACGATCGGCAAAGAACTTGTCGATCGCAAGTACTTGTTCACGAGGCAGTGGCCACTGCTTCATGACACAGTACTTCGAGCCTGGTTTAAGCTCGACCTCGTGTCGAATACCTTTATCCTTCGGTAATTCGCACGGAACAGTTTCAGGGAATACATCCTTGAATTCAACCAAATCTTCATAGAGAGGATTTTTCTTGAGCGATTCCCATGATTGGGAGTCATATCGCTCAATTCGTGTCTTTTCATCTAGGACACTCTCGTCCATAGATGAACTACTGAGAACTCTCTCGTTCTCAGTGAACACTGTTGCTGACCTTATGTCGGTTACACACTCGTCGTCAGCGACGAGTATGCAGATCTGCTTGACTTTGCCACTACGCAGATCACGCAAGAACCTTTTATGTTCGAGCGTTGGCAACTGAGTGATCTCCGAAGTTAACTTCGGAGGCGCAATCAGATCAAGTGTATAAGCGCCTACACTTGATCCGTTATTGACTATGACATTCAATGTCTCTGTCATTTCCTGGGGACTTATTCCCTCAGGCTTCGAAGGACTTATTCCTTCGGCTTCCCGGGGACTTATTCCCGCGGGTTTCGGGGAACTTATTTCCGCCGTATTTGTAATCTTGGGACTTATTCCCTTTACTTCCTCTAGCTGGGGTTGCGCAACCACAGCGAGATCCTCTACGAAAGACTCTCCAGTCGATCTAGGATTATCGTTTCGCTTAACCTGAGCGATCGATTGTTTCTCTTCTAGATGTTCCCCGCTAGGGATACATCTTTGTCCCAGTCCACCCGACTTATTCGAGTGGTGGACCTTCGGCGCAGCCTGTGTTTCCTCACAGCCGCCGGAACTTTGCTCCGAAGTGTAACCGTTTGGTACACTAAGGTTTTGTGCAGTCGTACTAACGACCGTACCACAAGTGAGGCCATCGCACTCACTCGTAGTACATCCACACGCTTGTGGACGCTCCAAAACGTTCATCAGATGGCCATCTGATGAACAAGCGGCAGGCATCGTTACTGTCCGATGTTGCCAGTTTACCCGTGGTTCGTACCTTCTGAGCCACGGTATTCCAAGGATGACATCAAATTTGTCATCCAAATCCAATACGATAAAGTCATCGTCATATTGGGTATCTTCTAGCGTATAGTGGATCTTCACTATACGCTTCATGACGGTTACGGATGCGCCTGTCGCAAGACGTACCGTCATCCTCGTAGGAGGTGTGTCACATTCACTGAACTTAAAGTGACCATCTTCTAGCGATTGGCGTCGCACAAAATTGTTGGACGCCCCACAATCGACTAGAGCTCGAAGGGACAACTTATTCGTCACTTCGAGTTTCAAGGTAATGAGTGAGACCTCATTACCTAGAGCAGCAACGCACAACGTTTGTGTGTTGGGAGCAACCTTCATCAAGAGGCCTACAAATTCTCTTGACGTTGCTAGACCAGTAGGGTGCTCCGCACCTACTGATCCTGTCCGTTTTTTGACGGTCCATCCCGTTGTTGCGTCTTTGCACCAACTGCGGACCCTCGTCCCTGCCCCTTTCTCATGGGTGGACGGTCACTACGCCCAGTGTCGCGAGACACTGGACGAGGGGCACTACACTCGTAAGCGTAGTGTCCTGTCTTTTGACATCTGTTGCATCTCTGCAACTTCTTGTAGCCTGTAGAGCGAGCCTTCTCGCTCTCTACATAACAGAGTTCCATCGGCTCTGGACCTCCGTTGTCATATCGTCTCGGTTGACGATATGATGTCGAGCTGGCGCGAGCCTGTCTCAGACTGAAGTCTTCCTGCTCCGCAATGGAAATGGCTTGTTCTAGTGAATCTAGTTCAAGCCGGAACAGGTGAGTCTTGACGGGACCATCCGCAAGACCCTGCATGAACACCGAAACCAACGTGTGTTCATCCACCGGATTGGAACTTATACAACTCGTAAGATGTCGTATATGTTGGGCGTAAGCGTGCACATCAAGCTTACCCTGTTTGAGCTTCAAGAGTTCGGTTCGAGCTCTGAACTCAGCTCTAGGCGGTTCAAACGTTTGTCTGAGCCGCGACTTGAAGACTTCCAACGACCCAAACGCATATGGGTCGTGCAACTTGAGCCCCAGTGCCCAAGTCTTGGCACGTCCTGCCAGATTTGACTGGGCAAATGCAACTTGCATATCCCCGTCGTCGATGCGACGCGCCCTTATGGCGTCATCCAATTCGACGAACCATCTCAAGAGGGAGTCTTCTTCGACCCCCCTATACTTTGAGATGTCAATCTTCAAAGTCTCGGGTCGACGCGAGTGCATCGACCCGCCAGCAGCAGCCTGCTGCTGTCTCAACAGTTCAAACTGTTGAGCACCTTGTTCTCTCAACAACTCTGCTTGTTGAGAACCTTGTTGGTGAAGCAAGGCTACTTTCTCGCGTTCTGCGTCAAGTTCATTTTGAATGAACTTGGCGATAGTAGCATGTTGGGCATCTCTATTGAGAGCCTCTAGCATGACGCTAACAGCATGGATGCCCATGGTCGAACCCATTCGTTCAACCGCATCCCATTCGACATCGCTCAAATGGGAGTAGCCGTCACGCGTAGCGTGAAAGCTTTGGTCATCTTCATCATCCAACATATTCATGTTGGATGTGAACGCGGTCCTTGGACGGACTACGAAGTGCTACCAGGTGTAACGGGGCACCCTGAAGCTTGTACTGGTGACAGTACAAGCTACTTATTCTGATGACAGAATAAGGCGGTGCCTCGTAACTTCACGTACACTCGTACGTGCAGAGGAAGACGGTAAGAAGAAGCGAGTACTTGGTTAAAGTAAAAAGTAGAACTGTATTTATAATAGTTAATGTCTGCAATAAATCACTATTTATCTTCATCTAACTATGTCTAAATACAAATGTGTAAATCAGTTATCTGCTCACCACTCATTGCGTGCGTCTGTCGTGGCGCGTCTTCGTTGGTTGATATAATGGCCTATATCAACCAATTAGGATTTACTCGTAAGTGCTACAGAATATTTGTCCTTATGACAATATTCTGAGAATATAACTCTTATAGTTATATTCTATTAACAATTTCTTATAAATTGTTATGTAACGATTCACCCCGTTACACCAAGTCTCTAATCCCTTCCTGGCCGCGAGGTCCCATGTCCGTCCGGCTCGTCCATCATTTACAAAATACACGCTTCACCTTGGC